ACCCCAAAATAATTCATTTATGTGTCTTGATAGAGTACATAATATGTATAGGATTTAAACGTATTTTGAAAGTTACAGGTCACAAAATACAAGGACTAAAATAACATTTTAATATGAAGCAATTTTAGAAGTTGATAGGTATATCTGTTTGCCACACAAAAGTATATATTGATACAAAGTAGACATCACAGGCTATTTACATAAGGTTAGAATTTTTTCTGCCTTTTTGACACACAGTGTATTTAGCAACCTTATGTGTATGACGGCTGTATAATACTTTATAGGTTGCTCAGCTATGTCGCCTAAATACAGTAACTCCGTATGTACCTTTGCCAGGTATATGTGGATGTTGAAGGGGAAGATTTGAGACACAGCAATTAATTTTTTTCTAACCTTGAAGATTTACGCGGTGCCCATGTTCCGTTTCGGAGTAGTTAAGCTGGTTGGTTTTTCAAACTACCCCCACAATGGCATAACATTTTTTAAAGAATACACCCTGGGGTTTTTCAAAAGGCACATTTTGAACCTTAGCGTGGAAACCTATTTTTTGCTAGTTTGTTCTAGGTGTAGTGGCAATGAGCATTTTTTTAAAATTATTTTGTTACTTTTTAAAACTTTTTTTTTTTGTAAAACTTTATTATTGAGTCACACTTTTTTTTATGCTTGTAAAATATATAAAACATTTTTTTCCGGTTAACCCCTAACTAGCCTAACAGTAATTTCCTCAATTCCCCACTAACATCCCCCCACCCTAGCTAGCTAAATATATAATTTTAAATTATTTATATTAAATACATTGAACCTCCTGAGGGTAAAAAAAGGTTAACCCTCAGGGGTGAAAAAAAAATCTGATTACAGTAAAATGTAGTCCCTGCCAATTGATCACCATAATCCATGATCACTGGCAGGGAAGGGGTTAAATTTTATTTTAAATGGTTAAAGGGGGTGGGAGTTAGCTTTAATTATTTTAATTTTTTTTTACACAGGGAGAAGCAGATCACTGCTGATCCATCTACCTGCACTTCACACTGACCACAGAAGCGCAGGGTGGCAGATCAGGAGTCCCTGCAGCACATGTGCTCGTTCTGATAGCCTGTCAGAGCGATCACAGCTGCAGGGACAGCGCGATCAGGTGCTTCCAGTCTGCCTCGAATACCGAGGCAGAACGGAGGAGCGTCAACCCCGTGATTTAGTCGATCGCGGCGATCTGTGGTTAACTTTAGTAAATGATGGAAATGTTCTGCCATGCATGCTTAACGCTAGGATAAGCATGATGGGAAATATCCGTCTTGCGTCGGTAAGGGGTTAAAAAGCTCATCTTCAAGATTAGAATTGTTCTTACTTATTTTAACCCTTTATTTTAGTGTAATTTTGAAAATGTTCTTTTTGTCTTTTATTCAGTACCACTAATTACTGTAGGATTATACACCCCGTTTACCCATTTCCTCTAATTATACTGGTACGAGGGAGTTCCTCCAAGCACCATGACTACTTCTGCTTTTAGAAGTGGTCATGATGGGTAGGAGTCTGTATGTGCAGTGTTTCTCCTAGAGATGCTGTACATTTTGCATTTGTGTACCAGGGACTAGTTACACCACAGACACACGTTAATTACGCAGCTTGTTCCAGACTGTCTAATGTTCTCTTTTGGTAGGTATAAAACATCCATGGTAAAGAAGGCCATTAGTTCTTAAAATGACTAATATAGAAATAATAATATAGCATGTGACAGCAGATAAGAACCATTCGGCCCATCCAGTCTGCCCAATTTTATAAATATTTCCATTAGTCCCTGGCCTTATCTTATAGTTAGGATATCCTTATAAAAGATGTGGAGGGGGTAAGGGCTGCGCCTGGGGCTAGTACAGTAGCCTATAACAGTAACAACCAGACCAAATAGTCTAAAGTGAGATAAAGGAGCTGGTATGCCTATGTGGATAATAAAAAGTCTCACTAAGACAACAGAATAAAATAAGGCTGTGGTCGTCAGGAGTTGATCCATCCGTATATATGGGGAGAGACAAAGGGGAAACACGACAGACAGCCGGTAGTGTAATATAGCCAAGATCCAATAATAATAAGAAGGTAATAAACTCACATTTGAGAGAGCTCTAACCAGCTCTGGAGTGAAGGGCGTATAGCTGTATTATCCCCAATAGAGGATATAGTGGAGAAGTGCGTCCGTTAATCTGGTCTGATTTGTCAATGCTCCGGGATATATAAAAAAACAGCAATAGTGCTCTCAATATATAAAGAATTAGTAATAAAATATAAACTATACTCACAAACATAAAGCAGAAGGCACTGCTCTATTAACACAGTGTTGGTGGAATAATCTTTTGATGTTTATTAACTAAAATGTTTGAAATATGTTTAAAATTTATTTAAGGGACACTAAAGGCACCCAGACCACTTCAACTCTATTTTTAACCCTGCAGTGTAAAACATTGCCGCTTTATAGGAATTGTAATGTTTTATTTGCAAGGTTAACACAAGTCTAATAGCTGCTCCTAGAAAGACTTTGATTGGCTTAGAGCAGCCTTTTGCTGTGTGTGTGCACCAGCGTCCCTGTGTGTCCCTATGGGGAATCATCGGATCTTAATGATCTCCGCCATGAATATGTGGGACCAGTGCATTCTGGGATATAAGAGAAGTAAAGGGTGTTGGGGGTGGCCACCTAAACAATCAGGATAACACTATAGCATTCAGGATACATGTTTGTTTAAACGCTACAGTTTTGTTTAAATTGCAATGGTTTGCCCTCTTACCTGGGTCCCTGCTGGGCGCCAAGCCTCCTCTGAAGCTGAGTGATACTCATCTAGCGTCTGGATTCCGAACTCGGCTTGTAACAATTTAAAAAGTCAGGTCATTCATTGGCTGAGAATGTTGCTTCTTCGCTAATCCCCTCCTCAATGGTACCCCCAACTATAGAGCTCAAAGTGTCAATTCAGTGGTGAGTGGATAATGAACCCCTATTTTCATTTAAATTTGTGACTACAACCATAGTTGTAGTCTATGTGCATCATTTCATTTGTGAGACAGAAGCGATGTGTAAATCCTTGTGGAATAAAGAGTGAGGAGAAGGGAAATGGAGAGACAAACAAAGAAGTAGGAACACTGTTTTGTATGTCAATATTTGTTTTATATCTCTAGTGTATTATTGTGAAGCGCCGTGTATTATTAGCGTGCACATAATTTCTCACATATGGCTTCTGCTAGTTCACGTGAAACTGAGATGGCTGGGTTTGTGTGTGAAGAAACTTTCTTAGCTCAGAGGTTAGTCAGATAAATCAAACTGACACCATTTTATGGTATTACATCCTTTCAGGCTTTTTATTGTATATTACTGTAAAAATGTTTGCCAGATAAAATATCCAATATGATGCATGTGCCTTTAAGGAAAACTTCTAACTCTGTGTATTTCTTTCCAATAGATGGTTCTGTGAACACATTAGAAGCTGATGCATTTAGAAACCTCTCTGTTTCTAAATCTAATTATTTAGTAAGAAATGAGGAAGTCCAAATTGGTCATATAAGAGCCCCCATCGGAAAAAATAAAACAAGACGGGAACAAGGCATATCTCTTAGACACAAGGAAGAATCAGCCTCATGTGGACAAGAAAATCTCACAACCAATGACAAACACACGCATGCACAGACAGAAAATCCATCTAGTCTTATTAAGGAGGAATCCACCTCACAAGAAGAAGGAAATCCAATAGACACTGACATTTATACAAACACTGATCAAATGCAGACGGAAATTCAATCTACTTGTATTAAAGAAGAATCAGTGTATGTGAGATTTTCTTCTCCACATAAGGCTGACATTTATACACCGACAGTACAGACAGAAAATCCATCTCTTCATATTCAGGAGGAACCAGCCTCATGTGAACAGGGAAATCTCACAGACACAGACATTTATAAACCCAGAGAACATGTTCAAACAGAATATCCATATACTCTTATTACAGATGAATCACCCTCATGTGAAGAAGGAAATGTGAAAGATACTTGCATTCAAACACTCCCTTGTTTTATTGAAATTCAAGATGTAATGAATAGTAACCCTCAACAAGTAGTGATTGATTCTGGGACAAACAATTCCAACTATAACGCAAATTTTGCTACACATCACAATCCACATATCAGACCTGACCAGACTTTTGAAAGAGAGAAACCCTTTTCTTGTTCTGAATGCGGAAAATGTTTCAGTCTTAAAGCAAAACTTGCACGTCATAAGATGAGTCATTCAGGAGAAAAACCGTTTTGTTGTTTAGAATGTGGGAAATGTTTTACTCAAATGTCATCGCTAAAGTTTCATCAAAGGGGTCACAAAGGAGAGAAACCATTTTCTTGTTCTGAGTGCGGAAAATGTTTTACTGGAAAATCACAACTTACAGTTCATCTGAGGATGCACACAGGAGAGAAACAGTTTTGTTGTTTAGAATGTGGGAAATGTTACAAATACTTGTCATCTCTAAGTTTGCATCGAAGGGGTCACACAGGAGAGAGACCATATTCTTGTTCTGAGTGCGGTAAATGTTTTGCTCAAAAATCACACCTTATGCATCATCTGAAGATTCACACAGGAGAGAGACCATTTTCTTGTTCTGAGTGCGGAAAATGTTTCATTTGTAAATCACACCTTACAGCTCATCTGAAGATTCACAAAGGAGCGAAGCCGTTTTCATTTTCTGAGTAAGGGATTAAAATGAGTACAAAGGTCTCTCTTAAAAAGCATTTGGCATCATACAAGAAATAAACAATTTTCCTTTCCTGTGCAGAGCTCAATGTGGAAATTGAACCCTTGTTTTCGTATTTGTGACTACAACCAGAGTTGTAGTCTATGTGCATCATTTCATTTGTGAGACAGGAACGATGTGTAATTTCTTGAGGAATTAAGAGGGAGAAGGAGAGAAATGGAGAGAGAAACAAAGAAGTAGGAAAAAAATGTATGATATAACTGCGATGCTCTATGTGCAAAGCTACCATGGAAATGAGTAGCCTCAATTCGCTCTCCTAAGATACCCGGAGCGAAATCTCCAGGAACGCTCACTCACAATGCGAATAGGTTCATATTCATTCCAGGTAAAGCGAAATGGTTTAATTTATAGCATTAGCAAGCTTTTCTGTTTAAAGTAAATGCTAAATTTGGGCGTCCGCTTTGGGACGTAGAACTTTTATCCTACATTTTACGAATTACATTCTTAAAGCAACACTTAGTCAGAGAATGAGTTTGTGAGTGTTCGGATCACCTTGAGTACAGTCTTGATTAAGGAGAGGGACCCAATGTGGTATAAAGGAATATTTGGAGGGTGAGAGACATGAATGGCTGACGTGGAGGAAAGAAGATATTTAGGGAGCTCTGAGAAATCTGGGGTAAGAAGCAAGGCGGCTGAGATGACCTGTTAAAAGAACACTATAGCATTAATAATGCTAATGTGTATTCCTAACACTATAGATAGTGCCCTTGTCACCATTTAGGTAATGCCCCACCCACGACGATTATACATTAACTCCTCGAGAGTCAACATGTTTCCCACGCTGCTCTGTCTGCGGCTCGTCTTGCCTCCTTGGCCGAGATCCTAGTGCGTATGTGCAGCAAAACTCAGTGTTGTGCCAGTCAGATGGTGTGTGAGATCATCTGATTAATTAGTGGAGTATAGCAGCCACTAGAGACAGGCTAACCCGGCAAAGAAAACATTGTCTTTCCTGTAGAATTGCATTGTTTTCAGCTGCAGGATTGAAATGAGGGCGCATCGTACCCAGGCTTCATTGAGAGGAAGTGGTCTATGTACTTATAGTGTTCCTTTAATTAACCAAAGAATATTTAGGTCATAGGCTTGCGCTGCCTATTGCATTATTAATTACCAATTTATACTGTGTTTCGTTAAGGTTCAGAGAGTGTACCGATATATAACATGGGTTTAATGCCTTATTCCATTCTTCTTCATTAATTTGAACCTGTAAATCATCCTCCTGTCTTATTATTTTTTATTTATTTATTTATTTATAAAATATTTTACCAGGAAAGATACATTGAGATTTCTCTCGTTTTCATTATAGCAGTAATTAGGACGTCTTTTTTTTACGTTTTAATAATTTCAAGACATTTTGTTATTAAATGTTTATAATGATTTTGTTTAAACATTTTGTTGAGAATTATCATTAATATACAATTCATCATTTAGAAAACCTTTAATTCTGAGATATTTAAATATTTCTTGATCACCAAGATTAAATTCTGTTTGGAGTGCAAATAAGGATTTCATTTTATTTCTCTATATTAAATGATGAGTTTCTATAATTCCGTTATTTATCCATGGTTGAAGGTCTATAGTTAAGCCACTTATAATTTTCAAAGGTTGACAAGGTATAATTTTGTCTTTTATCTTAGCTTTGTTTTTAAATATATACCAATTTGCCAGAATATGGTTTAAAGCTATGTTGCCTTCTATTATGTCTGAAGATTTCAACAAATTCTGTGATTTCCAGAATTGGGTCAACAAGTCTTTCGTCTCTATTAGATACCAACGCTCAGATGAAGCTCTATTTATTTCTAATAAAGCCGCGTCTGCATATTCTTGAATAATTGGTCCTCCTATATGTTTTTTGGTTTTTTTTAGCAAGTAGTTGTAAATTTAATCTTGGTTTCTTACCAGCACATATAAATCTAGAAAATGCGGTCTGGATCATATTTAGCCATGGAGTTGTTATTTTTAGAGGAACCATTCTGAATATATACGTAAACTTGGGGAGCATATATGCCTTCACGGTGTTTATTTTCCCCAGCCAGGAAATTTCTAACTTTCTCCATTATTTAAATGATCTATGCATATCCTTTATTAGAGGGAGTAAATTTATTTCCATTCATTCATTCATTAGGTTTAGTTGATATTTTGATAGCCAAATATGTAAATTGATTGTTTTCCCATTTAAAATTATATTTATCTTTCAGATAATTTATTTGAGTACTTGACATATTTAAGGGATCACTACAGAATTTGTTTAATTTAATTTGTAGTTAGATAATAAAGAATATTCTCTTCTACAATCCATAATCCCGTCTATTGATTTACAAGGGTCTTCAACAGTCAATAGGATGTAATCGGCATATAATTTAATTATCTGTGTATTCATTTTATTAAAAAACAAAGAAGTGTACAGGCACTCTTCTATCCTAAAAGGTGCAAAGTATCTAGGTAGCCCACTCCGAGTACCTCAAAAAATATCCATACAAATATATGATACTGCACTCTAGAAGTACTAAATACATCTATATAAGTACACGCTTCAACACTAGATAAGTACCAGTTCAGAGAATTTATTGCCATACCAGAAAACAAATAATCTGTTAAATCCATGTAGTTTAATATAATCAAATACCACATCCCACCATAACCACTGTGGCAATCCTTGGTGTAGGATATGAATATCCATTTTGCTTAATATCCTAGCTGTTCATATAAGGGTTAATTTGAACCAAGAATACATTTGGAATTGTATCTCCGATTCTCGGAACTAAAATTTATCTAAAATCCTATTTACGGGAAATGTTCTTGGACAAGGATTTTTACATGAGATGTTCTTGGACAAGGATTTTGGGATGTTCTTATTAATTGTCCAAGATTTCGGTATTTGTAATCATCTGGGTTTTATCCAATATGCATACATTATATAACACTGAATTATAACTAGAAACAGCTGTTTATAACTTGTGAAAAACAAACTGTCACTAATGCTCATAGCCCCCACCGACATGAAAATGGAGTATAAATATAACTGATGTATGAATACAATTTGAATTGGTTATTGAACATGTCTCTGCTATTCATTTCCAATTTCCAGAGCTCTGAATGAGTTGGCAAATATCCATCATCCACAAAGGGCCCGGGCTGATTTTATCCCCAACACTTGGTGCTTATTTACACTAAATAGTTACATAGTTACATAGTTACATAGTTACATAGCTGAAAAGAGACTTGCGTCCATCAAGTTCAGCCTACCTCACATTTGTTTTTTGCTGTTGATCCAAAAGAAGGCAAAAAACCCAGTTTGAAGCACAATTTTGCAACAAGCTAGGAAAAAAATTCCTTCTTGACCCCAGAATGGCAGTCAGATTTATCCTGGATCAAGCAGTTATTACCCTACATTGAAAGATTATATCCTTGAATATTCTGTTCTTGCAAGTATGCATCTAGTAGCCGTTTGAACATCTGTATGGACTCTGATAAAACCACTTCTCAGGCAGGGAATTCCACATCCTGATTGTTCTTACAGTAAAAAAACCTTTCCTTTGCCTTAGGCGAAATCTTCTTTCTTCCAGTCTAAACGCATGGCCTCGTGTCCTATGTAAAGTCCGGTTTGTGAATAGATTTCCACACAATGGTTTGTATTGGCCCCGAATATATTTGTATAATGTTATCATATCCCCTCTCAGGCGATGTTTTTCTAAACTAAATAGGTTTAAATTTTAGAAGGGCAAAAAATATTATTCTCCCGAGAATGAATGCCCTTTTTCATGCATGACAATACCTTACAGCCACTGCTGATTGACATTGCACATTGTTGCATAGTTTGTTGTCTATAACAATTCCCAAGTCCTTTTCATGTGTTGTTATCCCTAATTCGCTTCCATTAAGGGTATACGTTGCTTGTGTATTCTTTACGCCGAAGTGCATAACTTTGCATTTTTCAACATTAAATTTCATCTGCCATTTGAGTGCCCAGTCCCCCAGTCTATCTAAATCCCTCTGCAGCAAAGTAATATCTTGCTCACATTGTATTGTTTTACAAAGTTTTGTGTCATCTGCAAACACTGAAACATGACTTTCAATGCGGTCTTCAAGATCATTTATAAACATGTTAAATAGAAGGGGTCCCAGAACAGACCCCTGAGGGACACCACTTGCCACCTCTGTCCAGCCTGAAAATTTACCATTAATGACAACTCTTTGTACTCTGTTTTTAAGCCAATGTTCTACCCAAGAAAAAGCATTTTCATCTAGACCGATTTCCTTGAGTTTGAACACTAATCTATTGTGTGGAACTGTATCAAATGCCTTGGCAAGATCACATCTACGGCAACACCCTGATCTATACTTCTACTTACTTCTTCGTAGAACGCAATCAAGTTCGTTTGACATGACCTGTGCTTCATAAAACCATGCTGATTTTTGCTGATAACCATGTTCTTCTCAAGGAATTCTTGAATATTATCCCTTAATAACCTTTCAAATATTTTACCAGCCACAGAAGTTAAGCTCACAGGTCTATAATTTCCAGGCAAGGATTTTGAACCCTTTTGAATATAGGAACCACATCTGCCTTCCTCCAATCCTCCGGAACACTTCCTGAAAGAAAAGAATCTTGAAAGATTAAAAACAGAGGTTCACTTATTTCTGCACTTAGTTCCTTAAGTACACATGGATGGATACCGTCAGGCCCTGGAGCTTTGTTTATATTGACTTTCTTTAGTTGCTGCAGCACCTTGTCTTGAGTTAACCAATTACAATTATTCTGCAAGTTTTTAGTAGCAATCATTTGCACATCTATTGCCATGGGTTCTTCCTTAATATATACGGAGGAGAAAAAGTTATTTAAAATTCCTGCCTTTTTCTGGTCTTCATTAATTAACACCCCCGTTTCAGTTTTTAGTGTACCTACACTTTCATTTTGGTTTTTTTAGAATTTATGTACTTAAAAAATGCTTTGGGGTTGGTTTTGCTCTCTTCAGCTATCATTATTTCATTTTGAAGTTTAGCAAGTCTAATTGCCTTTTTGCATGCATTATTTGTATCCTTATATCTTTTATAAGATGCATCTGATTTGTCCGATTTAAATGCTTTAAATGCCCTTCTCTTAGTTGTAATCTCTTGTTTTACTTCTCTACTAAGCAGGGCCGGATTAACATAGGGGCTGATGGAGCTGCAGCTCCAGGCCCAGGCCCATGGAATAGGCCCATTGATTTATAAAAAAAAAACACACTACTCTTAGGGATTCCACCTGGCTTTTATTTTATTGGCACAGCCAGTAATTGAGGCTGCCTGGCTGGTGCCAATATTGCAGTGATACTGGCAATACAAATGCTGGTATTTTTCTCAGTATAAACAAGAGATTACTATGCAATACCAGCACTGGCCAGTAGGGGTCACTGTGTATGGAGAGAGGCAGGGATAGGAAGTTCCAGCATATCCCTCCCTGTCTATCTATACTCACTGATCTGCAGGGGTGCAGCTACGGAGAGTCCAGATAGCAACTCCCACCCTGCAGAGACAGCCTACAGCTCAGGGAAGGGAGGGATGGGGGGGAAAGGCTGCAAGGAGACATGGGGACACTGAGACACTAAGGGACACTGGGAGACATTATGGCAGACACCGAGACACTAAGGGACATTGGGAGACATTATGGCAGACACTGAGACATTAAGGGACACTGGGAGACATTATGGCAGACACTGAGACACTAAGGGACACTGGGAGACATGATGGCAGACACTGAGACACTAAGGGACACTGGGAGACATTATGGCAGACACAGAGACACTAAGGGACACTGGGAGACATTATGGCAGAAACTGAGACACTAAGGAACATTGAGAGACATTATGGCAGACACTGAGACATTAAGGGACACTGGGAGACATTATGGCAGACACTGAGACACTAAGGGACACTGGGAGACATGATGGCAGACACTGAGACACTAAGGGACACTGGGAGACATTATGGCAGACACAGAGACACTAAGGGACATTGGGAGACATGGCAGACACTGAGAC